CTCCACCACCATGTGAACATACAGCAGTGAACATACTGTCGTAGTCTGCTTCCACAGAGGCAAAAACTGCGGTAGGCTGAGGAGCCTTCCTGCAGTCCGAGCAACATTCCTGGTCTACCCTGTATGTGCCATTCTGTGCAGGTGGCCCAGACTAGCTGTCAAATGGTGGCATTCAAGGAGCGCTTCATGGTCATCACTGTTGTCAGTAAGTACTTTTAGGGCCGTGTCAGTCACTGCAGAAATAAGTGCTGCTTCTGCTGTCCTGTCACAGAGGCCAGGGTAGGAGCACCTAGCAATGATTTCACTGAGGAAATAGAAGCAGGAGAGAGGGAGGGAGGTGTAGGCAGAGGGAGGGGAGACTGGCACTTCTGCACTGCTTTATCAGTCACTTAGGGCTAGGGAAGCCAGCATCATTAGCAATGTTGTGAAGGCTGCACTGCAGTTTTCCTCTTATGTTCACAATGAGTCCCACCTTGTAGCATTCTGTGTTGTTTCTGCATTTTGTTAAGCTTTCAACACCCACTTCTTTGCCAGGTGGCAGTTCAGTTAAAGTCCAGGTTTTGCTTTTCTTTAAACCTCTGTTCCTTCCTCTGTTCCTTGCCTCCATCCTCTGTTCTTGGCATTAGCTGTTGCTTCAACTTGCTTCCAGGTTCTGCTGGTAACACCTTTCCAGTGAGGCAGGACAGGCATGGTGCAAGAACTCCTTTGTTGGGTCTTGTGGAGCATCTGAGACTTTCTTCTGGCCATTTGTTATTGTTTATTGTTTTTAATTGTATGTTGTGAGCCATCCCAAGATGCCGAGGCATGTGGTGACGGTATATAAATGTTTTAAATAAATAAATAAAATTTGGTTGTCTCTGCTATGTCTGTCTCAACATTTTCCACAGCCCTTTCTCTGGAATGTACTTACCCTCTGGTGCATTTGGTGCATAGTGCCCCAGCATTGAATTCAAGGTTTTTTGTTTTTAGGGGTGTTGGTTTTTTTTTTTTTTTTTTTGAATCCCAAGGAATGCAATATGCCAAGTCTATGTTTACTTACAAGGAAAAAGCTATTATACATAAAATATAGCTCAGCTAGCTTATGAAGTGTTTTGCAGCAGTTACTTACAATGCACAGTGTGAAGCAGACTGCAAAGCAGGGTTCATACAGCTGGAACAGCCAGCCAGCAAAGGCTGCCTGAGAGATCCATGTCCAAACAAAGGGTTTGCTGCTGATGCCATGAAGCCCTGCAATTTACACAACCTGAAGGTTTCTCACCCTAGCAAGTGCAGCTGTAGCTAACTAAGCAACTTACTGATAAGCAAGGATACAGGGAGGACTACCAGATTCCCATAGGCACAAAAGCTAGTTAGATCTTGTAATACAGGCCTTGTTATACTCTTTGAGAGGAAGCAGCTGCTCATTAATTGGTGCTGATGTTCTAGGGTGTCTTTTGTCTGTCTTTTCAGCTGAGCCAAGTTTTTTGGCTAAGCCAGACAAGATGGAGCTTTCCTTACAAATAGAAGACATCCACCCCAGAAGATGGTCAAAAGACAACTTCATGCTATGTATAAAAATCTCTTCTTGCTCTGTGGACTAGTTCTTTTTGGCCACTGATTGAGCCAGCACACTGCTTCTGCTAAGTTTTTTTTACCAGTGCTTTAAATCTTGTCTCTCTGTCAAGAGTTTTATCTGTTCTTCCAAAAGACTGTTAACCCTTTCTATCAACTCTGCTCACAGGCAGTAAAGGATATGATATATCCAGACTACGTGCCTCCAGTTCTTCTGTCCCAAGACTTTGTGCTGTTGCACTTTATTATAAACAAGGCAGGACAAACTCTTCAATGTATTCCATGGCCTACAGTGCATCCATCAACTGGCTGGTCTGGATTCTCATTTGGTAGGATCTGCACATACTATGGAAATATGAAGAGTTGTCCCAGATCATCTGGTTCTTAACCTTCATCAGATGTGGCATCCCTTCTCAATGCTGAGCTCTGACACATGCCTTGTGCAGATGTCACCAGCCTCTGGATGCCTTGCTTCCAGGAGAATAGCCAACAAAGACAGTCTGTTCTGTTTTGGGATCTAATTTCTGTCTCTTTTCTTTTGAAACAAAGCGGTATCCAAAAACTCTTAAGTGGCCTAGGTGTGTGTTCTGTTGTTCCAGTCCCTTGTATGGTGTTTGTGTGGTGCCATCGCTTGTGGGCAATTTGCCATGGATGTAGTTTGTTGTCATGATAGCCTTTCCCCACCATTTATTAAGGAGGCCTGAATGCATGACTAAGCATTGTATTATTTCCATAAGAGGTTGGTTATGTTTTTCAGCCAACCCAATGTTATATATACCTAACGAATCTGCTGGGCAGCAGTTTATTATTTATTTATTAGGGGAACTTCTATGCCGCCCCATTTGCCAAAGCCTCGGGGCGGCTCACAGTTCCTGGCTAGAGGCGTTACACCGCAGCGCATCCCCTGTGCTAGCCTTCTAGATCACCAGAGCAATGCTCCTTGCAAGCAAGCAGCAGGGACAAGAATCCACTGGGAAGTGCTAAGGAAAGGAGCAGCACTTTTCTATTGATACCTCTCTGCTCCTTTGTATGTACTAGAATACAATTCTTTGCAAGACAGTGGCAGGTGTAAGAAGCAGCTGCAATAAGGGGGTGGTGGCATTGCTCCCCACATCTTGCTCTGACTTGCTAGAGAAGCTTTTCCAAGCATTCCGAACCCTTCCCAAGCTGGAGCAAGAAAAGAGGGCAGCAGGACAATCAGCTGCAGTGCACAGCCCCCAAGTTGGCACTGCCATTCAGTTCCTTCCCACCCTTGTCACTGGCTTGCATGGAGTGGCACACGAAGCATTGCTATGGTTTGAGCAAAGGAGCAGAGGACAACTCAATCAACCGGCACTGCTTCTTTCTGCAGTGCTGCTCAGTGCCTCCACTTTTTGCCTGAGTGTGGATTGGGCTTCCCCTTCTGCTCAAGAAATCCCCTCTAGAGCAAGAGCGGAGAGTTCATTCCTGCACCTCAGGGCAAGTACCCTGTTTGTGCAGCAGAAACTGCTTGACAGTCCATGTAAGGACCCCAGCTGTCAAAGCAAGGAAACTCATTCCTCCTCTTGGAATTTCCTGGGACTGCCGCCTAGAAGACTGGGAGGGAAGAAAATGGGGGATGGGAGAATTCCCATGATGGACCTGATTTCCTTCAGACACATGCATGCAAAATGCACTACACATGCAGCATTGTTTGTTGTGATGTGTAACCCTGACTCTGGAGTTATCTGTAATCTGTTCTACTGTTTGGGGATGAAATTTACAGGATCCTCATGCACCTTCAACTCAAGCAGGTGGGAGAGCAGCCATAAAAAGCAATGGGGGAAATCCAGGATTTTCTCTGTGTTATTGAATAGCTGCATTTATCTTTATGCCCCCCTCCCCACCACTCAAGTAAAGGGAGCAGAAGACAGGAGGGGAGCATGCCCGAATCTTTCAAATTTAGGTCTTATGAACTGCCTGTGGATGTGATAAAAACAATTAAGCATTTTTACAAAAGCAACAGAAGGACCAATACTGGCCATTGTTTCCATACTTCAGCAAGGATGTAGCAGAGATAGAATGACTCATGACCATCCTGCAACATATTACATGCTTAATATTGCAAGTTAGAGGTTGAAAGAGTAGTTTACACATCTTGCAGTGTAGTCTATTGTTATCCAAGCAATAGTCAGTCTTGCTATTGTTAAGTTAACCCTTTACTTTCCTTTTATTTCCTTTCCCTTCTGTGTCTCGTTTTCTTCAGTTTGTAAGCTAATGTTAAGGTATGCTTCATCCTCATGTTCATACAATATAAGTTCAAGGCAGGAAACAAATCAAGTAGTAACATAGCCAGCTTTCTGCTCCACTATAAGCAAAGGAATGTAACCAGGGTGGGAAGATTTCAAAGTTGACCTTTTGATGTATACACCTGTGTTAATTACTTGGTGTGAGGTTATTTTTATCAGTCCACATTAAATTGTTAATCAAGTGCTGCAATCTTTTAAAGTCTTTTTCTGGAAGGTTGGGACAGTTTGCTTGAGAATATAATCATTGGTAATGCGTTCAACACAAGTGAGTAAAAATAATTTTTTCAAAGTTCATTCCTTGAATTACCTTTCTAACTTAGGTTACAGTTCAACCAAATACATTCTTGTAAGTTAAAAGAATGCTCAGATATTGCTCAGACATTGTCAAGATTAATCAGGCCATGGAAAGCATAACAGTCCTTGCAAATTGTTGCAATACATGCAACAATTAAAAATAAAATTTGTATTGCTTTTAAAGTTATCACATGAATTATGGCTGATTTACTAATGTCTACTTTTTAACACTAACAAATTGGTAAAAATCAGACGTCCTTACAGGTAGAGCATTTTGTCTAACTGGAGCCTACTGTATTGAACCCTATAATTAGTCAGTTATTTTTCAAGGCAACAGCAAAAGATTCATGGACAATGACAAACACTGGCCGTATTATTTCGTCGCTGTCAGTGGAAAAAAGACGCCCTCCTAAGTGCAGCAAAGATCTGTTAAAGACAGCTTACGTGATCTTCCTCTTCATTTTATTCTCACAACAGCCCTGTAGGCAGGGTAGAATTATGTACTTTGCGGCTTGAGTAGACAAACCGGGGTCGATACAGCACTCGGTTACATCACACTCGTTAAGAAATGAAATAACACGAACTACACATAGAAAGATGCTAAACTCCTGTCGTCTTTGCCACCTTTCTTGGGTAGGTAGAGTGGCTGCCAATCACATCCACACCAAAACTCTGAGTTTCACTTGTTTTCTACGGGTACTGTGGTCCGAAGGACACACAAAAACGCGCACCCGGAAGTGGGACAGTGCAGGTCACTCTAATTTGCGTTTCTTTCCTTTTTTGTAAAATAGGAAACTTCCGTTTCCGGGTTTTTCCATTGGCGCCTCCGCCGTGGTGAGGATGAGCGGAGGAGGGAGAGTGGGGGAGGCATCCGCGGGTAAGGCACGGAGAAGTGAGCGAAGGAGAGCTTTTCTGGCGTCGGGCCGCGGTTCTTGTTCTCCGGCCACGACTCTTGCGCGTTTGCCCCTTCTCAGAATGGAAGAACACGAAATTTGGCCCCTTGAATTTCCTCCACGAGGGGTCCCAGCCAGTTGTCTGTACAGGGGCTGCATTTTGCAGGGCGGGAGGCGCCACACGTCCTTCCTCTGATTTTAGTCCTTCCAGGTGCTAGATCTGCTCAGCCTGCTATTTTGTAGAAAGCTGACAGGCCAAAGAGTAAGCAAAGTATTTTCTTGGATACTAAGAATCCCTTCATTCCTTTTACAAATCTTTCAGGTTTATTATGAACAGTAGTGGAAACCCATGCTTCCAGCACCCTTGATGGAATTGACTTTGGTGCTGTCTTGTTCGCATCTTTATAACACGCTTTTTTTCTCTTTCTGAGGATCTAGAGAAGGTGCTCACACCATCCTGCTGCGTTACCTTCAGGAGCAGAACCGGCCTCACAGTGCTCAGGATGCCTTTGGCAACTTACAAAAAGAGCATGGCCTGGGCAAGACGGTGAGAGAAGACCTCAGAGGTGAAGGTGTGAGAGCCATATCATCTCATGGTAACAAATGGTGCAGTGGGCTCCAAAGACTCTCAAGAGGCAAAATAATCATACACTTCACATTCTGGTCAAAGTTCTTATTTTTTAAACCTACCTATACTTATTAAAAATGTGTAATACTTATATGATGCTGTCTCAGATACAAGACAGCAGGGATGTGTAGAAGATAGTGTGTTGAAGGTAGCAGCAACATTATACTGTTGAAATGAAGAAAAGATGTAGGAACCAGGAATGGATTTTTATGTGGAATGGCTGTGACTTCTGCTCAGTTTTGGAACTAATACATAAATTCTGGCCTCTGATTTTTTTTTTTACTGTTATGTTTATTTTGTACCAGTTTCCAGCTGGTGGATGCTCTATTTATTTTTTTTTTTAAGTTTTGGGTTTTTTTTAAAGCCCTGAAAGCCTGAAATCAACGAGGTAATTTTCCCAATATAGCAAGAGCCTATATTGAGAGTCTCAAGTTTTGTTTTTCAGGGTTTTTTCTCCTTGGCAAAGATAATTAGATCTTTGTGCAGATGTTTAGCCCTATTTTATTTCACAGATCTCAAGAAAATTAATTTGCTCCTTATTTATCTTTGTTTTAGGCCGTAGTGAAAGCTCTCGAACAGTTGGCTCAACAAGGGAAGATCAAGGAGAAAGTGTATGGGAAACAAAAAATTTATTTTCCAGACCAGGTAAGGGAGATACATCTTGATATCTATGGTACTTAAATGTTTACTTCAGTTACTGATATGAACCAAATATGCATAAAATATTAACACAACTATGTTGCAAACCCTAATTCTGTGACTGGGATGAAGTCATATTAGTAGAGGAATAATTACTACAATGTAATTATAATTTAACCATATAGGCTTTATAAAAATGCAAAGCAAGTACTGTTTGTCCTGCTTATATTCCCTCCTGCCCTTTTTAACATCCAGAAGCAGAGTTGATGGAGAGGGTCTTTGCAGTTTTCTTAAAATGGCAGACTGATTCCCAATAGAATTTTCTTTTCTCTGAAAGTTAACATTAATTGTATTGGGGGAGATGTGTGAAGGAGAGTTTGGTTGTCTTCCTCTGGCCAGAAGAGTAGCCAATATAGTGGTAACATTTTACTTAATTTCTGTATTTGTCTTACTAGTAATATATCTTTGGTCATCCAGGATGGGTTTGGTATTGTGAGTGACTTGGAACTTAAAGGCTTGGATAATGAGATTTCAGAATTGTCCTGCAAAGTGCAGACTCTGCAGCAGAATTGTCATCATATGGAATCAGGTATGTTACATTATATTGTACATATTATGTTAGCTTGCTGAGCCATTCTTCTGCAGAGTGAGTGACTGAGCACTTGAATGTTTATATGCATGATGCCTGTGATCCTTTCCACTGGCTGATGTAATTTCAGCTGTTCTAAGTAGCAATTTCTTTTCAGAACTGAAAGAACTGAAAAATTCTATGACAACACCAGAAATGGTTAAGGAGATTGAAGAGCTTCAAAAAGATTGCGCCAATTATAAAGAGAAACTGGAGCGAATTAAATCTGCTGCCAATCATGTGTCTCCTGAAGAGAAAGAAAAGGTAATGAAACTGTTAAGGAAGGGTCTTGGCAAGGTATACACTGTCCCGTCTGGATGTCCTGCCATTCTCTGTCAGCCATCTCCATGGACCCAAAAGGTCCTGAACATTCCAAAGCCAAGCCACTGTCAGTTTCAGCCCCTGGCCAACCCTACAGCCAAGAGCATTTTTAACCAAAGTAAAATAAACGCCTTCTGGCATTGGCAGAAGATGCCTCACTCAGTGGACAGTTCCTATTACAAAAGCATGACTGATTTCTATTTCTGAGGTTTTTTGATATGGCTGTAGTTTGCGAAAACCCTGTCCAACATATTGCTGTGAGTTTGCTCACCATATCAAAGCTGGATGCATTGCTTAACCACAGGGTGTTAAGAACTGCTTGCTTTTTCTTGTTGCAGGTGTACAGTGAAAGAAAGCTGTATTGTAGGGAGTGGCAGCGTCGGAAGAGAATGGTGAGGTGGCTTCTTAATAATATAAAATGGAAAGAAATAGTGCTCCATTGCTTCCCATCTCTCTTCTCTACTTCCCCCAATATCACCCCAGAGCCAGTAACAGACCCTGGCTCTTCCTTTTTCTCTAATGTTCTGTTGCCTGCTAGAGGGAGGTTCTGAGCATGTGCAGCATTTGTAGATTTTCAGAACATTCCCTCAACAATGTGCATGCTTTTTGGGTAATCGCAAGCATGCGCAGGTGTGCACAGAGAGGGCTTTGGGGCGGAGGTGATAGCTCTTCCAGTTACTCTTTGACTGCTCTTCTGAAAGTTGCAATTAGTCCAGAGTGCTTCCTCCTGTAGAGTGAGGGAGTAAAGAGAAGAACCACTCCTGGGCGAGCCAATTACAAATCACTGTTGCTTAAAAAAATGTGGCTGAGAGGGAGCAGCACCAGCCATAGCTTCAGGTAGAGCTTCCTGTAGAGCAGGAAAGAGACAGCTGCTCAAGCAGCAGATAGGGCGGTAGTTTTATTTACTTTTGTGTAAGTGTCCTGATTCAGATTGGGGTTGTGGCAATGCAGAGAGGAGGTTCCTAGCTTCTCTCTCCTCCCACCCAGTTTTTATGGTGGAATTCTACCCCCCCCCCCCCCAGGAAAAATTTAAAAAGGCAGGAAACTTTCAGTGAAATCTTTCTTTTTAACCACTGAAGGGGGTAAGCTTGGCACAAATATAGATGGGCTAAAGGTAGAACACCCCCTGCCAGATCACAATGAGCCATTTGCAGCCCAAAATTGTATAGTTCTTGATGAACATTTATTTATCTATCGATTTATATCCTGCCTTTTTCCTACAAAGGGCTCAAGGCAGCTTACATCTCCTCCTCCATCTTATCCTCACAACAACCCTGTGAGGTAGGTTGGGCTGAGAGTCTGTGACTGGCCCAAAGTCACCCATTTGGCTCCATGGCTGAGCGGGGACTAGAAACCAGATCGTCTGAGTCCCAGTCCCATGCTCTTAACCACTACACCACACTGGCTCTCTAGTAGGTTTGGATTTATTATTTGTTTATTTAAAACTTTTGTAAACCATCCCATTACTGAAGTCTCAGGATGGTTTAACAATAAAAAATGTAAAAATTAAAACAATTAAAACAATTAAAACACAGTACCCTAAAATTTAGCTAATAAGGCTAATTATGTGAGCTTTATAAGATGGCACTTGATAGAAACTCCATGAATGAATGGAACAATTCCTGTCGAGACTCTGGTCGAACTGTGGAACGGGGAGATGACCAGGGCTGTTGACACGATCGCTCCTAAGCGTCCTCTCCCGCCGGGCAGAGCCCACTCTTCCCCCTGGTATATACCAGAATTGCGGGTGATGAAGCAGGCTGGGAGACGGCTAGAGCGTAGGTGGAGGAGATCACGGGATGAATCTGACTGAACACACTTAAGAGCCCATTATCGGGCCTATGCTGTGGTGGTGAGGGTGGCGAAAAAGAATTTCTTTTCCATTTCCATTGCCTCCTCAAAATGCCATCCGGCGGAGCTTTTTCGAGTGGTGCAAGGCCTGGTTTGTCCAGGTCCTAAGAAAGATCTGGTTCTACCCTCGAAGGCCCGCTGTGACGACTTTGCCAAGCATTTCAGGAAGAAAATCGCTCAGATTCGTCACGAGCTAGACTCTACTAGTGACTCAGAAGTTTCTGGGGAGACACCAATACTGCCATCTGGTCCAAAATTAATGGATGACTTTCAGTTATTGTGGCCTGATAATGTGGACAAGGTGCTTGGACGAGTACGTTCCACCACTTGCCTATTGGACCCTTGCCCGTCTTGGTTAATAAATAATTCCAAGCACGGGATTGGGATCTGGATCTTGGAAGTGGTTAACGCCTCTCTGAGGGAGGGTCGGATACCTGCCCCTTTAAAGGAGGTGGTAGTCTGACCGGTCTTGAAGAAAGTGTCAATGGATCCAGAGATGGCCACTAATTATAGACCAGTGGCCAACATCCCGTTTTTGGGCAAGGTGCTGGAGCGGGTGGTGGCGGGACAACTCCAAGCTCTCTTGGATGAAACTGATTATCTGGACCCATTTCAGTCCGGCTTCAGACCCAGGTACAGTACTGAATCTGCCTTGGTCGCCCTGTACGATGACCTGTGCAGGGAGAAGGACAGGGGGAGTGCGTCCCTGTTGGTTCTTCTGGACCTCTCAGCGGCTTTCGATACCATCGACCATGGTATCCTTCTGGATAGGCTAGCGGGATTGGGGGTCGGAGGCACTGCTTTGCAGTGGTTCTGCTCCTATCTCAATGACTGATTCCAGAAGGTGGGGCTGGGGGACTATGGCTCTGCGCCATGGCAGCTATGCCATGGAGTACCACAGGGGTCCATTTTGTCCCCTTTACTGTTTAATGTCTACATGAAACTGCTGGGAGAGGTCATCAGGAGATGTGGGCTGCGGAATCATCAGTATGCTGATGATACCCAGCTCTGCCTCTCGTTTTCCACCAATCCAGGTGCGGCAGTGGCTGTGCTGAACTGGTGCCTGGCCGAGGTAATGGGCTGGATGAGGGCCAATAAACTGAAGCACAATCCAGACAAGACGGAGGTCCTGTTGGTTGGCGGATCAGGCTTCGGAGAGGGTGAATTGAACCTAGTCCTGAATGGGGTTGCACTCCCTCTTAGGGACAAGGTCTGCAGCTTGGGAGTGCTCCTCGACCCAGAGCTTTCATTGGAAGCTCAGGTGACAGCAGTGGTGAGGAGCGCTTTCCTTCAGCTTCGGCTGATTCATCAGCTGCACCCCTACCTGGAGAACGACTGCCTGGCGACAGTGACACACGCGTTGGTGACTTCCTGTCTTGACTTCTGTAACGCGCTCTACGTGGGGCTACCCTTGAAGACGGTCCGGATACTTCAATTGGTTCAAAATAGAGCTGCCAGGCTGCTGACAGGGACTGGGCATTATGTTCACATGACTCCAGTCCTCCATCAGCTTCACTGGCTTCCCATTGAAGTCCGGGCCCAATTCAAGGTGTTGGTGATGACATATAAAGCCCTAAACGGCTTGGGTCCTGGCTACCTGAAGGAGCGCTTACATCCATATACGCCTGCCCGCCCCCTGAGATCTGCGGGAGAGGCCCTTCTCCGGGAACCCTCCGTGAAGGAAATTAGGAGGGTAGGTACTCGGAGGACGGCTTTCACTGCGGTGGCGCACAATCTATGGAATGTGCCCCCCAGAGAGGTCCACCTGGCGCCGTCGTTATTTGTTGTTGTTGTTGTTGTTGTTATAACATTTCTCTGCCGCCCCTTGCCGAAGCCTCGGGGCGGCTTACAACACAATAAAATACATTGAAATACAATAGCACATAATAAATTACCATTAAATACAAAAATACAAAAAATACATTGAGTTACAAACATAATAATATAAAATTAAAATTATCAGTATAAAATAAGTAAATAAATAATATAGGAGGAGAAAAGAGAAGGAAGAAAAAGTTGCCCTGGCCAGATCATATGTTTTAACAATTAAAATGATGTTTAAATAAAAAGGTCTTTACCTGGCACCGAAAAACCAGTAACGACGGTGCCGGGCGGACCTCTTTGGGGAGTGAATTCCATAGGTTGGGCGCCACCGCAGAGAAAGCCCTCCTCCGAGTATTTACTCTCCTAATTTCTTTCATGGAGGGTTCCTGGAGAAGGGACTCTCCCGCAGATCTCAAAGGGCGGTCGGGCATATACGGACGTAAGCGCTCGTTCAGGTAGCCCGGACCCAAGCCGTTTAGGGCTTTATAGGTCATAATCAATACCTTGAATTGGGCCCAGGCTTCAATGGGCAGCCAGTGAAGCTGACGGAGGACTGGAGTCATGTGAGCATAACGCCCCGTCCCCGTCAGCAACCTGGCAGCTCTATTTTGCACCAATTGAAGTGTTCGGACCGTCTTCAGGGGAAGCCCCACGTAAAGCGCATTACAGAAGTCTAGGCGGGAAGTCACCAGCGCGTGTGTCACCGTCGCCAGGCAGTCGAACTCCAGGTAGGGGCGCAGCTGATTAATCAGCCGAAGCTGAACGAAGGCGCTCCTCGCCACCACTGTCACCTGAGCTTCCAAAGAAAGCTCCGGGTCGACGAGTACTCCTAAGCTGTGGACCTTATCCCTAAGAGGGAGTGTTGTACCATTCAGGACCAGGTCAAATCCACCCTCTCCGAAGCCCGATCCGCCAACCAACAGGACCTCCGTCTTGGTTGAGTTTCAGTTTATTGGCCCTCATCCATTCCATTACCTCGGCCAAGCACCAGTTCAGCACAGCCACTGCCTCACCTGGATTAGTGGAAAACGAGAGGTAGAGCTGGGTAACATCAGCATACTGATGATTCCGCAGCCCACACCTCCTGATGACCTCTCCCAGTGGTTTCATATAGATGTTAAATAGCAGAGGGGATAGAATGGAGCCCTGTGGTACTCCATGGCATAGCTGCCATGACGCAGAGACATGGTCCCCCAGCACTACCTTCTGGAATCGGCCGTTGAGATAGGAGCGGAACCATTGCAAAGCAGTGCCTCCAACCCCCAATCCCGCTAGCCTATCCAGAAGGATACCATGGTCGATGGTATCGAAAGCTGCCGAGAGGTCCAGAAGAACCAACAGGGATGCACTCCCCCTGTCCTTCTCCCTGCACAGGTCATCGTACAGGGCGACCAAGGCAGATTTGTTTTTCGGCACCAGGCGAAGACCTTTTTATTCAAACGTTATTTTAATTGCTAATATTATTTCCTTATTTTATTCTTTGGCCAGGGCGACTTAATTTATACTGTTAATTCATTTTATATTTTTAATGTATTATATTTTAATGTTTTGTGAGCTGCCCCGAGGCTTCGGCGAATGGGGCGGCATAGAAATTTTCTAAATAAATAATGAACAATGGGTATATAGGCACTGTTGTTCAGTGGGATGGAAATGTAGCCCCCAAACCTGTTGGTGATATATCAAATGAGACAGGACAAGATTGACTACCCTTCCACCTTCCTTACTCCAAGAATTCCTTATGGACTAAGAACTTGCTCTAGAATGTAGCAGGATGGCTTTCTAAGCTAGCTGATGAGAATTTTAAGGATTATTGTGCTCTGTTTCAAATTATTTACATCCAAGAAATGGGGTTACCTCATCAGACCTTTGCTCTCTTCCTCTGGATGTTATATTCCTCACCAACAATGGAGTTAGAAATGTCAGCCAAGAGGTGGTCTAGCAACCATGATTTAAGTTGACTACTATCCTAATATTTTACTGGTTGGTGTAGAAACCACTGATAGTATGTTAAGCCTTCAAATGGTCTGGCCAGCAGGTATAAAAATCTATTTGATCAATGTATATTGCCCCTCATGTAATTTCAAAAATTACTTCAGTTTGGTCAGATTTAGATTATGTTCTTACCTTTTAATTTGATATCAATGCTAACCCTTTAATAGCTGGGAACATAAAAATGTATGAAATAAATGGTAAAATGGGTTTAATCCCTGAAGAGATAAGGGAGTTTTGCCCATTAGAATTCCAAAAACTTGGCCATTAGAATTCCAAAAAAATCCCTTTTGCCCTTATTTTTAAGTTTCATTTAATATATATATGCAATGAGTTAGGGACCTTGAATCAGATCTGTATCTATATATAGGACCAAATGGTAAGAGTGCCACAGATTATAAGATTCTCTCAGTTGTTTTTCACTGCGAGAACTTGAAAGTTCTCATTAGGCCAGAGAATGACCATATGCCAATAAGACTTCTGCTATTATTAATTATGAGACCTTGTTATGTGCTGTCAAGTTGTTTCTGACTTATGGCATCCCTATGAATGAAAGCCCTCCAGAATGTCGTATCCATGATAGCCCTTCTCAGCTCCTGTAGATTTAAGGTGGTGGCTTCTTCAATGTAGCCCATCCATCTCATATTTGGTATGTCTTGTCTTCTGCCTTCAATTTTCCCTAGCGTGTTTGCCTGCTCCAGTGAGTCTAATCTTATAAAATGCCCACAGTATGACAGTCTCAGTTGTGTAAAAAGAATGTAAAAATAAGCCTTGTTTCTTGATAGCTAGGCTAGATCAAGAAAGTAAATATTTTTCCTTCCAGTATATCAGCAGTGCATTTTTTGTCTAGAAACATCCTAAGATTGATATGCTGTTCTGTCTTGACTGAAGAGCACTCATCAGATCTATTTGGGCAGGTATCTGAATTCATGTTTTGACTCTGTCTCACCAGGCAACAGAGCTATTTGATGCAATCCTGGAAGGCTACCCCAAAAGCAAGAAGCAGTTTTATGTGAGTACTACAGTTTTACGTGAGTACCACCTCATCTGGCATTGAGTGGTGGGGCACATAGGTTGGTTTAAACAGGTATTCATGATCGCAGTTCAGCTACTGCACAGAGATGATGCATAGGATGCATCTATTTTTCTGTTTTATGTTTTAAGGAATATGTGCTATCTTTTATGCAGGAGGAAGTTGGCATTGAGACAGATGAAGATTTAAATGTTACTTTACCCAACGTTTGAACTGAGGACTCAAATCCATTTTACTTTGCTCTCAGGTTTCAATCCTACTACAAGTACATTGCCATGGACTTTGGAAAAAAAGTATTTGCATTCAACAGGTATAAGCAGACTTTGCCCACTGCACTATTTTTTCCCCAGTACTTCTCTGCAACCCTGTCCATTTGAAACAAATCAGAATGATTGCTATTTTGTTTAAAAGCTGTTAGCCTCACTACACAGGATTACCAATAAGCACTTGAGAAAATGGAAGGAGGCACAAAAAATAAACACTTGAATTACTTTGGCGGCTTTCTCTTTGTGTAACTGTCCTGCATATTGTACAGAAAAAAAGCATACTGTGCACATTAAATCCACCCTTGTCTTCATGTTCTGCTTCAATACCTTTTCCTGAGCACCTAATCCGGGGCATACACTGATTTAGAGCAAGATTCAGTGCAGGGATTACAACTGCTTTAAGGTTAGTTTGGTTCTAAAGATAGTAATGCTGGCGCAAAAGCTTTAGAGTTGGGGTGGGAAGCAAAACACCTCCCTAAGGCCCAGGGAAGTGTAATGTAAATAACTGCCATGCCATTATGTCCCTTTGAAGTTTTATTTTCTCTGGTCTGGTTATATTGGAGAAGAGGTGCAGGGAGAGAAGAGAAAAAGTTAACTTTGCCTGGCCTTAGAGGTTGGAGGTGGATAGAAATACTTCAGTATGGTGACTTTATGATGTAAACCCTGGAAACAGTTTCATATAAGCACTTTTTAAAAAAATGTAGAGATATTCGATTGGATTAGAAAGACCACCGAGGAGGAGGAGATTATGAGAACCTCTGCACTAAAAACTCTGAGACATTCAGTATCAGAGACTTCTCTCTAAAGCTCTGGCTCTGTTCACCCCGAACAAACCAGCCAAAACTACTAAATTAATTCAAACACTTAGCAAAATTTATTAGAGTTGCTTGTCATGTTAAAAAAATAGTTTACTTTTCATGAGTGAGGTCTATTTAAGCTCTTTTTCCACCAACCAGCAGTAGATCCAGAAAGCAATGCCTGTAAAAAGATAAGGGCCTACCTTCTTTGTAGCTAAATAACAGGATTGGCTTAGGCTCACACCACCTTATCAATCAGAAACTATGGTTTGAAAAGGCCTCCCCACCATCCTATATTCTCGATTAATAGAGTCTGGCTAGATTTATAGAATCTATTAATCTGTGGTACTGAAGGCAAACCGTGCTTGTGAGTAGATCAAGCAGTTAGAGAAACTGGAAGCAGGCGTACACAGGAATTTGAGGGAGGGGCTTCTGTGGCTTATTGCCCTTCTGCAGCTTATTTCTCTCCTGCAAGACTAACAGAATATATTAAGCAAAGCAAGCCAATTTAATGCATAATATGTTCAGGTCACAATACTTAAATGAAATTAAAAACTAGGGAAAACAATCAGTGTCTGCAGGTGAATCACAGAATAGACAGTTTTGCTTTAAACTCATGCTTAACCATGCCTTAAGTGTTACTTAATACAAGCCTCATACGTAATGTCTCTGTTGTGTACTGAAGTTTAAACGTTTTAACTACCAGTCTGCAGAAAAGGCTCGCTAAAGGGAGCTCAAGTCCTGGTGCTTCTGTGCCCATAAGAGAGGAATCAGGTTCATGCTAAACCTGTGACTATTGTTTTATAGATTAATTTCTATCAGATAGGTTAGGTCAATATGGAGAACATGGCAGGGTGAAGGCTTGAAAGGGAGTTATGGCAATAGCTGATCCTCATGAATGGACAGCTTATTTATTTTCTACTCGCTCAAGAAACTTAGTTGTGCAACAAAGGGTTTCAAAGGTTAACACTATCAGTAACTACTCCCTCCGTGCCAAAAACAAAACCTTGAAGATAAATTACTGGCAGAAACAGCCTCTAGGCCACACAACTCTTAAGTGGTAATACGCCCCTCCCTGGCATCCTTTGTGAAGTTAGTAAAGTTGGCTCTTCAACTGTTGCAGGACACCAATGACAATCTCTCGTAGAGTCTGTGAAGGAAAAAAAAAGTGAGCTCACAACAGACTGGCTTAAGGGGTGGGATAAGGGGTTCTGCTGGTATTAAGCCACTAAACTTTTAATTTCAGGCCACTTGCTATGACAATGTTTAACCTCTTAAAGGGAAACATGCATATCTTTTTCCTTACAGGAAATGAGACATCTGATCTGTTCACCTATAATTTACTGGTATTCAAATGCCCTGTACTTTGATAGTATCCTGAGAATCTGAAAGCTTTTAAAGTACAGGATGGCAAAGAAATGCTTGAAGTAGTTGAACAAACATGAATAGGGTCCCCTAATAATGGCTGGGGGGGAACAATTTCTGTGAATAATTTCCTTCATCACACCTCCAATTCCTTCCCAAAGAGTTGCATAATTCAAACACTCACATCTTTATTTGAATAAAATTGTAACTTTAGGTAGTCTTGCTTACCTAAAGCTAAATTTAGACTTTTTGATAAGAGAATGGAAAGTTAATCTCACCACAAAGTGTTCATGAGGATTTAAAATTCCCAGGCAAATAAAGGCTTTGAACCCAACACTATAAATGATACAAAAGTGCACCAAGAGAGCATTCCAAAATCAGGCTGCCATCACAGAAAAGGCCAATGTTTTGTACATGTAAGTGCACTTCTCTTATAGGAGGGATAAAGAAAAAGTCCTCCTTTGATGATTTTACTATACAAGCATGGGAGGGTACTCACTTGGGATATTTGGGTCCCAGGCTGTTTAGGACTTTAAAGGTAGGCATCAATACCTTGAATTGGCTCAGTAGAAAACAGGAGCCAATGCACCTCCTTCAGAACTGGATGTAATATGGCTCCACCTAGCCTAACCAACAAAAATTCTAGCAGCCAAATTCTGTACTAGTAGGAGCTTGTGAACAGTTTAAGGGCAAGCCTGCATAATTCAACCAGGAGGTTAACAAAAAAGCATGGATCACTGTACCAAAGATTTCTGGGCAGGAAAGGAAATAATGAACCACCTGGACTTGATAAAAGGTGCTTAGAGCCACCAGGTCCACATGGATTTTCAAGTGACAACTGTAAGAGTAAAGAATTTACTGACAGACTTAGGAGGAAAGTGCATAATTATGATACTGTGGAATATAAGGAAATCTCAAGGTCCCTTTTTCTTTATAGCCATCATCAGTTTCCTTCTGAAAACAAAGAGCACTGAATCCAGGAAAGGTGCCTATTTGTTACTTGTAGTTGTCGGTCACATGCTTGCAAGTTGTAGAATTACCTGTGGCTTACAGTGTTCCTCTATCCACCTGAAGACACAGGCTGAGAGCTCTTGAAAGTTTGTCACAGAGATGGAGGCATTGAAAGACTGGAACAAAGAGTCCATGATGCTCTGAAAAACGTTGAACTTCACCTGGTCAGAGACTTGGTTCTTTACTTCATTAGGATTATCCTGGTGAGCTTTGACAATCTGTTCATAATTTCTGAAACATGTAAATGCTAGTAAGCTTAGGAGAAAGCACATGGCAGAACAATTGGTTCTCAAAAGAAGGTTGGGAGGGTTTATAATAACGTGGAATGTTACGTAAATTACTTTTCTATTCCACCCATTAACCAAAGCTCTTTGGGGCAGTTTACAAAATACACATTAGTAAAACATGCTATAAAAACAGCTAAGTTTAAACTGAATAGTTATCAAAGACAGATAAAGATCCTGTTCTCAGAAACACAGTCTAACTTGTTCAGATAAGAAGTAAGTTTCCTCCCTTGTGAATATTTTGGGGATGGCTACTAATGAAGCCTGGTTTCTGCATGTATGTACACACATGGACTTACATTTTCATGATTTTCAATGCCATCACATCTTTCCGCAGTGTGGAGACCTCTTCCTCTTGCTTCTTCTTTTCCTTGTGCAAGAACTGAATATAATCAATGGCTAGGGAGAAAAAAGGATAACCATTTAGAAGCAATTGCATAAAGTCTTCTGAAAACCCAGTGCCTACCATCTAACAATGTGATGTGTTGCTCAGTCAACCTTACCGAAGTTATGGGGCGAGTTCCCTCTACAAATAAGCTGTGCAGTGTAGATTGCTTTGTTTGTACAACAACCCACAGTGAGTCCAACAGATGACTAGGTTCATTGTAGGCTGTCTGCCACCCTCTTTCCCCATGGTCCTCCCACAGTGTATCCTATGAATATGCGTAGCAATTCTCCTTTCCTCACTGTAATTGCAACCCCTTTTGTAGCCACCTGACCTTTTCCACCTTTGCTTTCAGAGAAAACTTTTTCTAGCTTCTTAAGTGATTGCCCAGGTGACACACTGGAATAGCAGTCCCTGTTTCACCGCTTTTTTTGGCACCAGAAATGTACACAAAGGTGTGGGAAAGTTCAAAGTTCTGCAAGAGTACAATTACAACTTCCCAAAATGCAAAGCCTTACCTGGTTAATGCCCTGGTAAATACCTAATAAGCAGGGACTATCCATGGACATTGACAAAGTCCATGCTTTCACTTGACAGCTGTCAAACACTGAACTGCCAAGCACAAAGGAAAGCTGCAAGCAGATCTTTCCTTGCAAATGGGAGCAGTGACTACACCACTCATTTTACAGGAAGCTCCTTTAGGTTTTAAGTTTGGATCTGAAATTTCTCAGTGTCTTTCACCTTCTCCACACTCAGGAAAATGGAAAAATTCAGCCCACCTCATTCACAGGAGTATTTACTTTTAAAACATTTTTGACAGAGACATATACAGCCATGAAATGTCAATATGCCCTTGTCAAGACTGTTTTAAAAGGAGGCCTTGCTTTTGGCAGCTGTCCAAAACAAGCATTCCCATGAATAGGGTAGCCTGCCCTCCTATATGTCAAAATATAAAGGAATATATAAAATGTAATGGAAATATAGAGATATAGCTGCCACCCTCAAGATTTATTTGTGGCTTTCCTATGTGCTCAACAACTAGCTGTTTGAAAGCTGACAAGTGAGAGCAAAGCTCATGCTTACCAACATGTTGGCCAAGCTCGATCAATTTTGGGTAGTTGGAGTTGTGCACTTGCACTACCAACCAAAGTAAATGGAAAAGCTACTGAAAATATATTTGCATGTTTCTGGTGCAACCCTCCCCCCAGCTCCAAAAAAAGAGGTAAAGAACTAGTGACTGCCACTCCAGTTGGGTTCTTTGGAAGGCTGTCACTTTAGGGATCTTGAAAAGTTGCTTCTGCAAAGGGGAAACATGGAGGAAAACTATGGCTACCACAAAAGGGATTGCAATCACGGGGAAAGCAAGCCAGTTATGGTTCCTCCAAAGTACTGGTAGGGCACTTAGCAAAGTAGCTTGCAATGGCCTGGACAAGCTCAGAAGAAGAGCAGAAATGACTCATTCACTGATTCCTTGGACCCTGGATGGGATCAGTGTGCTGGCTTCAGAAGACATGCCAATTCAACTAAGGTCTAACAATCCTTAGAACAAGCCATGGGTTTTCACAGTAGCTTGATTAGGAAAAACAGGCCATCCAGCAGGAACCAGCACAGGTTTGCACTGTGGGCTAGTTACCCACAGTGGATTGTTGCATTGTGCAAATCCAGCCACAGTCTCTCTCGTTCTCTAGAATGCAGAACTTAAAGCCCTGAAACCAAATCCAGTCCACTGGTGTTCCCAGAAGGCCACACCCCTTTCTACCAAGTACCATTTGTTTGATGGTTTCCCTGCTGTTGCGCATTTCTTTATTGTTCTAAAGGGTTTAAATGCTTCTCAGTGAATGGCAATACAAACTTTGAGCTAAAATATGCTTGTATTCTTTCTTCTTTTAGCCCTGCCCCAATACTTCACCAACTATTTGAATGCAGGCCCCAGGAGTTTCTACAAAATAGAATTCATCCCTTGGATTGAAAGAGGTTTTGCACTGCTACTCTAAGAGAAGAGAATAGAGCTAGGCTCACTTGAGGCACTAACAACAGTAAGAAGGGTTCTAATCTGAAAATGGAAATAGAGCAGAAACTGAAACAAGTTTCAAAACTTCTGGGATAAGTAAGATATATGTTAATGCGACATGGATATAAGGATGAGAGATCAACAACCAAAGGAACAGAGATGCTTCCCCACTCCACTCACTCTTCTGCAGCACAATCGCTTTGCTTAACTTCTGGGAGCCAATTGAGAAATCTTGCTGCTGACATGTAGGTACAATTGCTTGCAAGTCATCATATCCTTTCTGTGAGAGAGGCAGAGCAATATTAAACTCATACAGCAAGGCTAGACCGCATAACAAAAAGAAAAAAAGCAACAAAACCAAACCAACTTGTCTTTCTCCCTTTGCTGTTATTCCAGTCAGGGACCCATGCAAACACAAGGGACAGGATAGGCCTGCAGCTAATCCCAAGTTCTTACCTTAATAGCATCCCTCCGTTTCTGTTCAGCCTGTGTGTGGGCACGGCGGCGGCGGTCCTTGTATGTTTCTTTGTAGCTTTCCTGCTGGTAGTCGGAGTCTTCATCATCTATGGAGAAAAAAATGAATTGTTAATAGGACAAGGAAGCTGGTAGGGGCCTAGAGAAAGGCTTTATGAGGGCTCCCAGAAGCTTCCAAACCAGAGGATTTACTAATGTTCACGTAAATGAGAGAACAATGTGTGACATATTAAAGAACTACCATTTGATGCTCAACAGCACCAGTGAACCTCAGCTTCCTTTGCCAAAATAAAAGGGAGCAAACCCTTTTATGGGCCTCTGTCATCACTTTCATGGCTGTCTCACTGTCTCCATCATCACACTTTTGTGGGCCACTGGGAAGGACGGATGAGCAGTTACTGCTGGCATCTTACACAATCAAGACTGGCTGAATTAACTTGATGCCCTAAAGGGCAGTGCTTTCCTCTCTCTTTCTACATCATTGTTTCCACCTGAAATCCCTTAAGACAAAGCCTGCTGTGTGTGTTATCCTAAATAATGCCTCAAACAGGCTTTGCTCACTGAACAACTGGGAGAAAAGTGACAGTTTCATTGAGAAGGAAGTCAGTGAGCTATACCTGTATTTGGTACTGAAGAGGCACTGGTAGAGCCAATGCTGTTAGCTCTTGATACAATGCTCCCCCTTTTCCTGCTTTCCACGAAGAGTGCTGGAAGATAAACACCAAAGTATAGCTGAAGGTGTATACTTTAAAAAAGTTACTCCTTGATATATTTTATCCACCCTTCTGTAATTGCAGATATAGTGATTAAAGTTACAGTGGAGTTTTTCCTCCTCATTCAAAGCGCGATTAAAACTTTACTGACTGCTTTATAGATAAAGGGGCTATTCTACATTAATGCAAGAGAGTAATCTTTTATACATGATAAGTTTTCTATGCACAGCAGTAAATGGAACCAAAATGCTACAAATTAGGTCACCGCATCCATCATCCTTCCCTCCTTTGCCTGCAGTGTGACTTCATGCAGTTCAAGTAAAGAGATGTGACACTGTCCCTCACCTACACTTAGAATGCGTAAAGTTGTGCTAATTCATCAAATGCCTCAGATTCATTTGGCTGCCTCTGGAACACAACATGAAGATCTTGTACCTCTTGATTCCTATGTATGCCAAATAACTCAGAAGAAAAAAGTGGTGCCAAATTTTCCTTTTTATCCAAGATGTGTGGATCCATAGCATAAAACCACCATGGAAGTAATAGTACCTACTAAAACGCATGGGCCAAGAAAAGTCAGAAGCAACAACCAGGAATATTTAGTGTGAAGGTAAACAATCTAAAAAAGTCCTAAGAATGGAGAGCTATCAGGTACTTACCAGGATCCAGTCCGCTGTCACTAAAAGTTGAGTCAACCTGCTTTGTTGAGTTAAAAGGAGAAAGGAAAAAAATAAGACAACATTCCCACCAGATATATGCTAAGGACTCACTTGAACTGTGGTTGTTCTGAGCAGTCTTTCCCAAGTATATACAGAACTGGACTACATGCCTCTACATTGAGTGCACTAAGAGTTCTGTTCAACAAATACACTGTGACTTCTTATGGTATAAAACTAAGTCAAGATATTGCTTCCTGTCAAAAGAACAAAACCGTATCTTTCCTCAGCTGCTGGCTAGACATGTTTTTGTGATGTCTAAACTATTGATAGACATGATTTTTGCACCACAGTGAATTAATGTCCTCTAGATTTGCCCTTTTAAAAATAGGTGAAGAGAACCAATGGGTAATGCGAGGAGGGCAGCTCCTCAAACAGTTCACCAGGCCACATACATTGTGCTCTAGTAAAGGGATATGGCAAGAAGCAATGGAATGTCACATTGACAGTAATAACGTATGGCCTCAGAATATAAAGCAAACAGTTCTCCCTTGCCTCCAGAAAGCAAACAAGCATATATATTCCATGGCTTCGGGAAAACATCCCAGAATATCTAGTTAAACTCCAGTACACTGTGGAGTTTGGCCTTTGGGAGCTTGGAGAGCTGTTGCCAGTCAAAATAGGCAATAGTAATATAGATGGATCAGTGGTCAAGGCAGTGATATATTCATGTCTAGCTGCCACGCAGTTCTCAAATACTCAGTTTCAACAGTATTGATGTCTGAGGGAAGAATAACATCTATTTTATGGAGCTTGTCTCAGTGCTGGGCTATTCTAGCTGACAGAAATTTCAAATGGGATAGATAAGTGGGACCTACAACAAACTTACATCAAATCACCATTTTCTGAGAGAAATATTTGTGTTGCAGCTATGCAGAAACAAAGCTTGGTGGTGGCAGAAGAAAATGTTTTTCCTATTCCTATGGTGTTCTCATACTTTGCTATATAGCACAAGGGGAATAAAGCTGCCTGTCATAATCCTGAGCATTTAACTACTATATTGGCAGGGGTGGGGGAGTTTTGGAGAATGGGAAAGTTAAAAATCTAGGCGGTGTGGCTCAGTGCTAGAGCACATACCTTGCACATAGAAGGTCCTGAGTTCAGTCTCTGGCATCTACAGGTAGGGTTGGAAAAATATGTCTTGAAAACTTAGAGAGCCACTGCCAGTCAGTGTCAACAGTACTGGGCTAGATGGACAAATGGTTTGACTTGATATAAAGCTGTTTTCTATGTTCCTAACAGAGCAGAGCCTTAGCAATAAATGTGATGATACAGTTATTTGTACTTGGGCTTCACTGGGTTGGCTAAAGGTCAGTGGTAGAGTATATGTTTTGTATGCAAAACATTCTAGGTTTAATCCCTGGCATCTCCAGGCAGAGCTGGAAAGAAATGCCTGGAGTCAGTGCCCATTCTGTATGTCAATTTCTTTACATGGCAGGGAGGAAGGCATGGCAGAAGTGCCATTGGGAAGGGAAAAGGAATGATGAGAGCTATGGGGAGGCAGAAGCAGTAAGGGTGGGGAGAAAGGAAAAGGAGAGGTGGAAAAATCAAAAGGTGATGAGAAGACCCCTCTCTCCCAAAAAAGAGAAGCCTCCAGGGAGATGGGATGGAGAGAGAACAGATAATACCAAGGGAAAAGGAGTCCATAGGAAAAAAAAGAGAAACCTTCCTACAGGTCCTTGAATTTAGATAAAATTATCTTGCCTTGGAAATAAACAAACAAAACAAACAAAAGATGAAAGTGAAGCTATTGTACTTTGGGCACATAATAAGAAACAAGGATTTCCTAGGGAAGGTAATAATGCTAGAGAAATCAAAGGAAGAAGATGGAGAAGATGAAAAACAAGATGGATGGATTCCAGAAAGGAAGCCACACTGCTGAGTTTACAAATATTTTGGAGGGTATTCATTCATGGAGTTGCCATATGTCAAGGACAAGTTGATTGCACATAACCACCCTAAGCTAACCTTGAGCAAAATCACTACTGCCTTTCCCAATCAGTATGACTTCCTCCCCCTTTCCCAGTCTAGATTACATACTCTGACACTTCTTTTCAGCATTTAGTCTCTCTTAAAATGTTTAAGAGAAGTAGGTTCAAAACAATGTCTCATAACAAAGATGAAGTTTCATTTTAGCCATCCAAAGATCAATCAATTACTTTAAAACATGATGAGACCATATTCATGACCATTTATTTGCTGCATTTCTTGGGAGTGAAAAATGGATTGCTTCTGTTTGCCCATCTCCACTTCTCTTTCATTCTGGGCCCTTTGCGATGATGCACAAAACCAGTAAGGGCCACAAATCGTTTCTGGCTAACTTCTTGACCATTTAGCAAGTGAAAGCTGCAAGCGGACTTTCAAGAGAGGCACCTTATTCTAGCACTATGATAGAGGAGAAGGGGGTGCCAAGTGCAGGAGCAGGAGAAGCATTTCTTTACCAGATTTAAGACAGTAAGGGTCATCATTACAAGTAAGTTAGTTCAAGCAAGAAATCTGAAAGTGAGACCCAAATTTAACTTTTTTAACAAGCTACTCTAACCTGTCTCCCTTGCTAGACTTAGGACTAATTCGACAAAACGAAAGGTTCCTGGAGCTAGGACTGCCCTGAATATGACTCCCATCCTAACTACTTCGAGAAGGCATTTTTTCATATGCTCAAAAGGACCTTCCTAATACCTGCACATACTTTCGGCCCAATAGGACACTAAAACATTTCCTAGATCTGGCACATAACTTTGACACCTGATTCCACCCTCTGCCTTCTCTTTGTCCTCCCAGTTTCACTCACTTTTACTCCCCAAGGTTTTTCCGGAGAAACGTTTAGTGACTCCGCCATCTTTCCCCTCCTCCGGACAATGCACGTGTCCCCCTGACATCAACCAATCAGGACCGGGAAAACAATACCAGGAAGAGGCTATTCGGGTCGCAAGGGTTGCTGGGAAATGTAGTTTGGTTGGGGTGTTTTTCTTAGGCTAGCTCTGAATTCTTTGTTTACCCACAGAACAAATTTGCTTCCATCCCATTGTCTAAATAAATTCCTCCCGGGTTGCAAGTAAAAAAGTCATTTTACTGGCTTAAAATAGAGAAATTCATGATTTGCAGTAAACAGTTATAGATTTACTGTAGTTGTGCGTGTCCACCCCATAAATAATGGTGTTGGCAAAGACAAGAGTTTGTGCACTTTCTAACTCAATGTTTAACTTTACCTAAATTCTATGGCAAATGAGGGCCATTAACCATATATTACAGGTTGGAAAAAGCTGTAAGTAGGAGTTGCTTATGACAACCCTGCAGTGTAATTCATTCTGAAAATGGCAGAGTGACAGGCTGAGGCTGAGAAAGTGGTTTATCAGAACCACTAAAACAATACTTCATTGTATTATTCCCCCTATTATAGGTTGGAGGTTAATCTGAAGTTGAATTACTCTTGTAATTGTCCAGTATTGCTATCGCACTGGAGGATGTGCAGTGATGTCAGGCTGAAAATAGCATATTACCATAGATGATGATCATAGGTCAGAGCTGGAACTAACACTATTCCAGGTTTCCAGCCCAAAGTCCTCATACAAAACACTCTTCAGGCTGCAACAATGATATGCTGACTTAATTTACTCCCACCCCTTGATCACCTTTCCAGCCCAACCTGGTGCAAAACTGAATACAGAAAACTTCCCTCCACTGACTGTCAGATTAAAAAATTTACATTTGTACAAAATATTAGGAACATCTCTTTGCTGGTACCTTTTCTCTTTTAGGGTGGAGGAGACAGAACACGCAGCTGCTGCTCAGTCACAGCTACATTTAAATCTTGGATTTCCCCATCAGTTCCTATGGAGACTTCCTATAAAGCCCTGCATGATTAGGACCACAATACCTGTCGGAGCACCTCTTCCAACCTCAGTCTACCTGAACACTACGTTCAACCTGTGGGGCCTTCCTCTGAGTGCCACCCCCACAAGAGACTAGGAGGGTGGCAACAAGGAGGAAGGCAGTCTCTGTAGTGGCCCCTCTTCTTTGAAACAACCTCCTAGCTGCAGCCCACCACCTGCCTTTCAACACTAGGTCTGCAGAGGACTTTAAAGACCTCCTTGGTTATCCAGGGGCCTGAGGGAATTGTCTTGATGATTCTTTCTGTCGGGACTTTTTATTGCATTTTAACTGTATTTTTCAGGTATTTAACATTAATTTCAAATTCTGTTGTTGTACATTATTTGTTTTGTATTCTGTTGTTTTGTTTAATATGTTGTTATGAGCTGCCCAGAGAGCTTTGGCTACAGGGTAGTACAGAAATGAAATAAATAATGAGGGAATCCCTCTCTTCCAGTCAGAGGGAGGGAAAAAAGATAAACTGAAATCAGAAACCTGTTCATTGCTGTATTCTAATTTACAGTACTACAGATTATGGAAGTGAACCCCCCCCACTCTTCTATGATTTCATACTGAGTAATTCCTAGAGAAAGTGCCTGGGAGTGTTCTTAGATGTGCAGAAGCCTTGGACCTGGTCAGAGGTACCATGCAAATCTTACAGAACAGCTTGCCAAGCTTGAATATCTGACTCTCGCCTCCCAAGTTTGCACTGAACTCCACAATGAGCAGGGTATCACACAACAAAGACACTGAAGTGAAGAGGTCGGAGCACCTGTGTTGTGCCTTTTTGCACAGGAGGAGGAAATTATGCACACCCCCAATAATATGTCAGTGTTTTCCACACTAGTGTGCTTTTGCAATGCCATAGAAGGACTGATGGGAAACTTTCTCTGGCCTTTCCTTTGCCCCACCTCTTGGCATTATGTCTCTTCTTCAGGGACAACCTCTGGCAAACTGCTGAGTTCTGTGATCTCATAAGGCTGGGTAGATGGTAGAGTGACTCACTGTTACCTTGTTCCAAGTGCAGCCAGCTAGCCATAATAAACCTTGGTGGTAGAGGGAGACTGAATAACATGTTTTTCCTATACCCATGCTTTACTATTTGCTTTCACAAGGGGAACCAAGCTGCCTGCCAGAGGCCTCAGCATTAAATATTATATGGAGAGAGTGTGTGTGTAAGAGAGAGTGTTCTGGAGAATGGGAAAGGTAAAAATCTAGGGACTGTGGCTCAGTGATGGGACACATATTTTGCATGCAGAAGGTGCCAAGTTTACTTCATGGCATCTACAGGTAGGCTGGAAAAATCTGCCCCTGCCACCCAGTGTCCAAAATATATTTTTTTATTATTATAACATTTCTATGCCGCCCCTTGCCGAAACCTCGGGGCGGCTTACAACATGATAAAATACATTGAAATACAATAGTACATAATAAATTACCATTAAATACAAAAATACAAAAAATACATTGATTTACAAATATAAAATTAAAATTATCAGTATAAAATAAAAATATAGGAGGAGAAAGAGAAGGAAGAAGAAGTTGCCCTGGCCAGATCATATGTTTTAACAATTGAAATGATGTTTAAATAAAAAGGTCTTTACCTGGCGCCGAAAAACCAAATACTGGGCTACATAGACCAGTGGTCTGACTTGATATAACGCAGTTTACCAGGTTCTTCATAAATAAATATGGGATGATGAACTTACATGTACTTAGATGTCATTGGGCTGGCTGCAGTTCAATGGTATAGTACATGTTTACCATGGGTGACTCCCATGTCCAATACCTTGTATGTCCAGGTAGAGCTGAAAAAAATACCTGGAGTAGCCGCCCATCTCCTTATCTGCAAACTTCCATACTGCAGAGGTAATCCTGGTGGCAGGCAGAAGTGGCAGTGGGAGGGAACAACAGGGGTGAGAGTTACTAGGGGAGGCAAAGGCACTGCATGAGGAGAAAGAAAAAGGAAAGGTAGAAAAAAATCCTGAGTGAGGGAGAAGGGAAAAATCCCCTCCAAAAGACAGACTTAAGTGGAATGGAGTGGGAAGAGAAGAGATAATATTGAGGGCAAGAGGTATCAGGGGAAAAGAGAGAGAGAGAGAGATGCCTATCTTGTTGGGCTCTGGCAACACAATTTTACCCAACGGGGTGACAGCTTGAGGGAACCCAGACTCACGACCAATTAAGAGTCTGGAGATGAGACTATGAGCAAAGAATTAGCTTTATTCCCGTGCACTGTGAAGCAAAGCGGGGGTGGGGGGGGGGGGGCATGGCCAATACAGTGTTTCAATAATTATCCCTTAAAACATGCACTATATACTCTACGTAAGCAACAGATCATCTAATATGCATTTGATATATCGATACCCATCCCCCCGCTGCTTAGTTCAGAGTCTTTTCTTCTTCCAAGGACTGGCCATCCCTCATGTCCATTTCTTATTTCCTTGTAATTCACACACAGTCTACTCCTTACAATTAGCAAAACATTCTGCAACTTTTATGGCAGTACTAACCGGTTCTCACTACCCCTCTTTGTTAGATTAAGGACATTTTGGCTTGCTAGCTGCGGGTAACACAAAGTTTATCTTGTTCTCATAGCCCCCCTCCCATCCAAGACAGGAAGTCCAATTTGGCAGCTGTATTCCAATTGCCTATAATATATTCCCAGAATATATTAGGTAATGGCCAAGTTCAGCAACACCTACAATCCTGGAAATGTTATGTACACCCCTGGACTCATTTTGAACAAAAACTCTACTGCTTTTTCCATTCATCTGATCAATTTGAGTTCTTCTCCTTTTCCCAGTTGAGATTACAAACACTGTAATTTCTCTTTTATGAAGCATTTAGTGTCAGTGCTAAATTTTAATGTTTAACAGAAGAAGGTACAAAACAATGTCTCAGAAACAAAGCTGTAATTCCATTTTAACTCTCCAAAGCACAATTAGTTCCTTTAAAAACACCATAGGACCATATTCATCATACTCCTTTGATTATATGCAATCTTACGTGGTGAGAAATGAATTGCTTCTATGCACCCATGTTTACTTCTCTTTCATTCTGGGTCATTGGCAATGATGTAAAAGACCAGCAAGGAGTACTAATCTTTTTGGGTTGCCTTGTAGGACATTTAACAACTGCAAGCAAGCTTTCAGTAGAGGCACCTTATTTCACCACCGCTATAATGCCAATTACAAAGGCTGCCAATTGGAGGAGCAGCAGAAGTACCTCTTGAGCAGTTTTTAAGACAATTAGGTTTATAATTTATTAGTACAATAAGCCACTTAAAATATGACACCCATATTTCTAACGAACTACCCAACAAATAAGATTGAAAGTTTTCCTCTCTATGCACTAGTTTAGGGCACTAGTTTCATTCAACAAAATGAAAAGTGCCTGGCCTTAGGATTACTTTGAAAATGGCTACTATCCCAACTACTTGGAGGGAAAAGAAAGGCATTCTTCATATGCTCAGAGAGGCCTTCTTAGCTAATTCACATGCTCTAGGCCCAACAGGATCCTATGTTGGGAAAATTTGGATAAATCCTGTCGGAAAAGCATTACTTCTGTGTGCTTTTTGCATTGTGGGATCAAATCCTGTCTTCCTTCTCAAAACCAAGCTGTCACTGTTTAAAATGGCATTCCCCTGCTCCTTTCTTTCACCTTTAGCTGTGGGCTACAGTAGACAGGCCATTCGGTCCAAACCAAATATACATCGTAAATAGTCATTGTTGGAATTCAGTTTACAAGGAAGTATGTTTTGATAGCCCAGAGGCTCCATGTGCCCTGGCCAATTCAGAATGTCTAGAGTAGATAAGAGTCTTGAGTTCATGCATAGTTTCAGTAGCTTGAATTTACATGTTTTAAGCA